TCACCCAGTTCTTGGCTCAATTAGAAGTAGAATATGATAATATTATATCGTTGTTGTTGTTGTTGTTGTTGTTGTTGTTGTTGTTGTTGTTGTTTTATTTATACTCCATCCATCTGGGCGGGTTTCCCCAGCCACTCTGGGTAGCTCCCAACAAAATACAGTGGTGCCCCGCAAGATGAATGCCTCGCAAGACGAAAAACCCGCAAGACGAAAGGGTTTTCTGTCGCGGAGGCGCTTTGCAAGACGAAGTTCCCTATGGGCTTGCTTCGCAAGACGAAAACGTCTTGCGAGTCTCGCCATTCCCCCCCCCCTCTTTCCCCCTTTTTCAAAGCCGCTAAGCTGTTAATAGCCTTTTAACAGCTTAGCCGCTAAGCCCGCTAAGCCGCTAATAGCGCTAAATCGCTAATAGCGCTAATCCGCTTAGCCGCCAATGGGGTTGCTTCGCAAGACGAAAAAACCGCTAGAAGAAAAGAATCGCGGAATGGATTCTTTTCGTCTTGCGAGGCACCACTGTATTAAAAATACAATAAAGCATCAAACATTAAAAGCTTCCCTAAAAGGGGCTGCCTTCAGATGTCTTCTAAAAGTCAGATAGTTGTTTATTTCCTTGACTTCTGATGGGAGGGCGTTCCACAGGGTGGGCACCACTACCAAGAAGGCCCTCTGCCTGGTTCCCTGTAACCTCACTTCTCGCAGGGAGGGAACCGCCAGAAGGCCCTTGGAGCTGGATCACAGTGTCCAGGCTGAACGATGTGGGTGGAGACGCTCCTTCAGGTATCCTGGGCCGAGGCCGAGGATATCCAACCCTGTGTTGCACTTTACTGGAGTCTCCATCTTTCCAAGGGCACCTGAGCTCACGTTGCTCTCTGCCACCCACAGGTGATGCACTGGGACGGCTCCATGTTCCGAGATGTCCAGCAGATGCCTTCCCGCGGCTCCATGGTCTTCCAGCCGCTGAGCATTGCCGGTTACCGCTACGCCTTCCTAGGCAACGACTACTCCTTCAGCAAAGTGTACCTCTACGACCCCGTCACAGGGCTCTTCCAGCACTTCCAGGAGCTGAGCACCCAGGCCCCGCGCTCCTTCGCCCACCTCAGCATCGACAACCAGGACTTCCTCATCGCCTCCAGCTTCAAGGGCCAAACGCATATCTACCGGCATGTCATCAACGATCAGAGTGCCTGAGCCTGGCGGTGGTGGGGTTGGGGGTGTCAAGGATAAGAGGCAGCCACCATGGGGAGAGGAAGGGCAGGAGAGGAGCCAGCCCCTGGAGGAAGTGCAGTGCCAGAGGCAACTACTAGGAAGGCAGGATGGGAAGCAAGACGCTGCTGAGAGTGCAATTCTCCAGCGGCAGAGAAGGGTGGAGAGGACTGGGTAACAGCTAGCCAGTGGGTGGAAGGCAGGCAAACTGAACAGCCACAATTCACTAGCACGTGAAAGTAATGGCAACAGGAACAGTCCACAGAACGCTTTAAACAAAAAACAACTGCTAGAACAAAGGATGTTGGAGATTGCAGGACCAAAAGCCCACAATGCTTTGCAGTGGGGCTAAACTGAGCATCTTCACAGATGGGGGCGTGCAGATTTGGAGAGGCAAACCTTGCTTAAAATCAATCCGAATTTTGTTCCCCGGTCGTCCCCCACCCCCCCACCCCGCTTAAAGCATGGATGCTCTCCATTTAAATACCGTTCCTCCTCACTAACGTGAATGAAGGCTTGTGTTTTCCCTCCCCAAGTCAACTTTTATTGTCTTTTTTAAAAGGGTTCAGTGCAAACCGTTACCCCGTGCTTATTTTCTCTGCTCGCTTGTTGTTTTTACTACAAATTATTTCCCCTCCTTTTCAAATGCATGGTTGTTGTTTTCTAAATAAAATTTGTGCAATCCAGCAAAAGGTAAGCTGCAACCCTATACCCACTTATCTGGGAGCATGACCCCTGGAACTCAATGGGACCTACACCTGGGTCTAGGATTGCGCTATGTCATTGAAATCCGTGACATTTAATCGGCCGCTGCAAAGTCCCATTCTAGGTTTCCATTGAGACAAATCTGCAGAATTCCATGTATGGTTCTATGGAAGCAAGTGTCAATGGCATTCAATGAGACACCTGCAATTATTGACTGCTGGGTTGCAACAAATGTGTTTTTAATGGCCGTTTTCAGTCTTATGGTTTTTTGAATATTTTCAGGCACTACAGAGTGTCTGGTTCTTAAAGCACAACTAAAGCACAAGCTTAGCTTTCAAGCACATGAGGTACCCCTGCTCCTTTTGATGTGGGTCAGGGGGAGAAAACCAAGGGGGCACAGGGTAGGCTGGGCTCATTGATAGGATGGGTGAGCAGAGGAGACTACAGAACTGGGAAAGGCTCCGGGGAGATCTGCCATGCATCTTAAGTACAGCATTTATCCTTTTACCTGTCAATAACCAGCATGTTGTTCAAATCCATCAACCTTCTTCCAGTAGTGGGCAGCACTGGGCTGCAAGGAGTACATGCTCTTACTGGAATCACGAGGATATTGAGCTGGCATCACCTGGGCAGAGGCTGTTTCTCCGACAGAGGCAGACCGCCCTCTTCTTCTGTCTCCCATTCATGACGTGGAGTCCCACAACATGCGACCAATGTAAATAATAATAAAAATAGTATATTGTTCGTGGGCTCGTGAGTAGTATTGATTGCTGTGTGCCTGCTTCCCAACTGCAACAACAGGTGGGTTGTGCCAGAAATCATATCGGGGGGGGGGGTGTCCAGGTACAACTGTACTGTGCTGCCAGGTTTGTTGCATGCTAGACTCCATGGGGGAAGCAGGGGAGAAGTTATTCTGAAGAGAGTGCACTGCTGTGTTGCCACGGGTGCATTTTCCAGGAAACTTCCTGCAAGTTCAAGAACATGAGAGCCTTGCAGGACCAGGCCAAAGGCCCACCTAATCCCAATATTGTGTTCCCAAAGTGGCCAGCAAAATGAATTGGTTTCCAGCAGGACGTGAGCACAAAAACACTGTCCAATCGTGATCCCTAGCCACTGGCATTGGTGCCTCCGCTAGATGGATACAGCAGGCATGAGATACCTTTGGCCCTCCCCATGCTGCGGACTACGACTCACATAATTCCTGGCTATGGATAGACTCCCTGGGGCTGATGGGAGTTGCCGTTCAGCAACATCCGGAAGTCGCCATGTTGGCTGGAGGATGTACAAAGCTAGAACCAATTCTGAAAAGGGGAGACATTTCCAGCAGACGCTTGCGTTTATTATCGTGATTAAAGTTCAAGGAGCAGTTGATACCTCAAGGTGGACCAAGATGAAAATCGTAATTTCGGTTACGTAATTCCCAGCTTCACAAATCTGCAGTTTCATCAAGCCAAGACTACACACGCCTTGACCAAACTGGACAGAGAATCTATCCACAAGGCATGCCAAAGTTGCTAACAGCACCACTTCTTTTACTTGTGCAAGATCCATTCGAGGCCATCTTCCTAGTGCCTCTGGATTTAATGTTTTGCAGGAATACACCTGCTTCCCAAGCCTTCGTATTCAAGGATTTAAGAACCGCAGAGACGCATCTATAAATTGTCAAATGAAGAGAAAGCAGCAGAGATGTACTATATAAAAATATGAAGTTTGCATCTTGTGATGTTAGCGTTGCTTTTCCTTCTACTGGGATCTCTCTCGTAGCCTTGCATGCACACAGGCAGCAATATAAAGGAGAGTTTGCTCTGTACAACATGCTTTGTTATTATTCACTTCATTTTTGGATAGCTGTATCTTGCCTTTTAGGACAAAACTCTCCCAAAGTGGCTTACAGCTCAAAGCAATTAAGCCAGAGTACATCGCAGCAAGCAGCATTTGGAAGCGCATCAGCTGTAAACATTCAGCCAGCAGAAAATTGTTCAAGAAATGCCTTGCAATTAAGAAACAAAAGCGTTTGGAACAAAAGTGTCCACAGACAGCAAGTCTAGTGGAGATCGCAAGGAAGTAAATTCCAGAGGTGCCATTGGGCTGCCACTAAGAGACACGGTACCTTGGGTGATGAACTACAAATCTGCAAAATTGTGAATTGCGTAACCCAGAAAGGATTTCAGCTTCCAGGCTCCGTGTAGCTTGGAAGACACTAAAACAGGGTGAGGCCCTTCAAATGTGATCCTTCCAACTTAGGGAAGGGCTGTGGTTGAGCATCTGCTTTGCATGTTGAAGGTCACAGGTTCAATCGCTGTCATCTCTAGGTAGGACTGGGAGAAAGACTGTGTCTGAAACCCTGGACAGCCGCTAATGGAGCATAGACACTGCCAGCCTAGCTGGACCAATGGTCTGAATCTGTACAGGAGTTGTGAGTCCCAACAACAGCTGAAGGCCCATAGGTTCATCACTCCTGTCTTAGAACACGGGATAGCACTCTCTTGGAAATGGCCCATGCTTCCTGCAAAACACAAGCCTCCCTCCAGTCTCATGTCCTACATGCAACATCCTCACACGCTGACTAAATCGGTGGGAATTTCTACAGGCAAAGGCACCAACCTTTGAAGACTGGGCTTCCCCTCTCTAATGGTGTAGCGACAACAGCTAAATTTAAGTGGTGTGCTTCTGGTCTCTGGACGTGCCGCCTTGTGACTGGGCCTTAATTCAGCCTGAGGGCCACCATATCCCCATTTGGGCAGCCTTCCAAGGATCATACGTCACATGGGACCAAGGATAAACATGGACACAATTTTTTTGTACAGTAGACTTGTTTCATACACTTCTTTTTGTCCTCCCTCCAGGCTGGCAAGAGGCATTGTTCAAGTTCAAGGACGTATTCCAGCCAGGCAAAAGCACACAAGGTGGATGTGAGGAAAGGCCAGTGAGTGGGGGGGGGTGGCCTTGGGGGAGCAGGTGGCCTGGGAATTGTCCCAAGGGCCAGAGAGAAAGAGGGGACCCTCACTGCTGCCTTAAATCAGAATTATCTACACAGAGCCCAAGACCATCCATTTCAGGACAAACACCAGAATTTTATTATACGTCTCTTTTTTAAAAAACCAACAAAACAAAACCTAATACAGGTGTGAGAGCCCAAAAAAACATTGAAAGATCCAGTGTGTTACATCAATTGAGAGGAATCAGGTATGGCTGGTATGTTAGTGGGAGCAGTCATTATCTTCACTCAGCATTCACTGGTTTCTCCTACAGGAGAGAGAGAGAGAAAGGGAGGGAGAACTAGATAGCACAGCATATTTAAGATACCTTCTCTTGCCAAAACAGAATTCAGAGCTGTCTACCCTCCTTTGCCAAAACCTGTGCTGAACAAAGTGTGCACATGAACGCACACAAGCACCATTTTTACTGGTGTTATTAACACACTTCCCTCAAAAGTTCTTCAATGTTTTGCCTCAGAAAGAACCTCCAAGTTTCAGTTTAGCTGTGTGTGTGTGTGTGTGTGTGTGTGTATACAACCCTTGTAACTGGTTACCAGTTCACTTCTGTGCCCAATTCGCTGTGTTCATTGTAGTGTTTGAAGCCCCAAACGACTTAGGCCCCCAAATATCCAAAAGACGCCCTCCTTCCCTACAGACCCCTCAGGTGTTAAGATCAGCAGAGGAGACCCTCTTGGTCATTCCATGGCCCTTAGAATTTTGTGTGTGTGTGTCTTATGAGAAGGCATTCTCCAGGGCAGCCCCTAAGTTGTGGAATTCCCTCCCCACAGAAGAGTGCCTGGCACCTTCATTATCCAGCCTTCATTGTAGGCTGAAGGCATCTCTTCACCCTTCCCTTTGGAATGAGACACATATATTTTGGGACCTCCTCTAGCTCAGACTGTAACTTTTTTCAGAGTGTTTTTAATGTACAGTGGTACCTTGGTTCTCAAACGCCTTGGTACTCAAACAACTTAGAACCAAACACTGCAAACCCGGAAGTGTTCCGGTTTGCGAACTTTCTTCGGAAGCCGAACGTGCTCCGTTTTGAGTATTATGCTTCCGATTTGAGTGTTACGCTGAGGTCTGTCTGTTTTTGCTATTTATTTGGGATTTCTGTTTTGCAGCTCTCTCTCTCTCTCTCTCTTTTTTTTTTTTGCGACTGTGTGGAACCCAGTTCAGCTACTGATTGATTGAAGGATTGTGACACTGCAGTCCATTGTTTATTGCTTTCATTTTATGGATCAATGGTCTCATTAGATAGTAAAATTCATGTTAAATTGGTGTTTTAGGGGTTGCTTTTAAAAGTCTGGAACAGATTAATCCATTTTGCATTACTTTCCATGGGAAAGTGCGCCTTGGTTTTGGAACGCTTTGGTTTTGGAATGGACTTCCGGAACGGATTAAGTTTGAGAACCAAGGTACCACTGTAGTATTCTACATTGTTGTAAACCACTCTAGAACTGTATGACGATGGGCGGGTAATTATTTCCACAGCCGTTGCAAATGTACCTCGGGTTTTGCTTCACGGCAAAGATCTGATGGCATCTTTAGCAAGCCAAAAAAAGCCTCCTGCTCAGGCAACACAGCAGCCAAACACTCCGCAGCTGCCACCAGAGGGCAAAATAGTTAAATGCACCCCTCTGCTCTCCCATCATCTCCCTCACAATACCCTTCTTGCAGGGTGGATTCCAACAAGGGGCAGGACACAGCACTTTTTAAAGCCAGCAACACAGGATTGGGATTCTTTGCATGACAGTTCTGGATGTAATTGGCCATGTGGTATTTCATGCCCAGATGCTGCAAGCATTTGCATGGTTCTCTATTCTGCTGCAAAATCTATTCCCGCTTAGAAATTTCATTTGGGACCCCTGTCCTCCATTGGCCTGGTGCGTGCGATGGAGGCCACTCAGGCTTCCAGGCTGAAGTTGCAGCAGCTTCGCATTCCACCCACGATCCACTTCAAAAAATGCTAATCCTTGCTGTCCCCAGCAGGGGTGAATAACAGCATTTTCAATAGACCCCCCCCCCTCCAATCACTTCTCCATCCCCAAAGGAGCACTTACCTGCAAGTGGGAGCTTTTGCATGGTGTGGACACTACAAAGGAAGAGGACAAGTTAATAAGGTCGAAGCCACAGACCATCATCAACATTCCTCCTTTCAGTTTTAAGATCGCTGGAATAGTACTTTACTGTCTCCAGAATCATACCCCTTCAAATTTGCCACCTATTAATTTGCCACCCACAGTGCCTGCCATCTCCCTCCTGCCACCCTACAACCTATGGGAGTGATTTCATCATACCTGTTTTTCCTCTTAGGTTTGCATTTGCACTTTCCACCTGGGAAGAGAGAATGAAAAACAGCATAAGGATTTGGCAAATTACGGTAACCATCAGGAGCGGCTGACAAAATGCAGGTGTCTTGCATAAGGTTTGCACGAGGAAGTGAGACCTGCCTTGGCCCTCTGGCATCTCAGGGAGCAGGGGTGAGCAGGGAAGACCACGTCTGAGATATTTGGAGAACTGCAGCCACAGAGACCCTAGGCTAGCCTTCCCCAACTGGCTGACTTTCAGATGTTTTTGACTACAACTTCCATCAGCCACAGCCAGCAGGGCGAAGGGGGGAGTTGTAGACCAGGGCTCCCAGTTATAGAAAGCTGCCATAGGCTACAGAGGCCAACGGTTGATCTGATTTATGGTATCTCTGTGTGATGGAGCTGGCTCAAAATGGGACATGTTGTGTTCCCCTTCCCAAAACAGTGCCCCCTCCTTTCCAAGTTAAGGTTGCTAGTAGGCAAGGCTGATCAAGTTATTCCACAACTGCTTCTCCTGGTAGTAAAAAATACGACAATAATAAATTAAGTAACTATCCATTTGCTGCTCTGTTTGAAGAGCAAAAATCACTCTGCCAGAGGATGATGGGTTGTATCCAATGTAGTGCTCAGTTAAAGTCACTTAAAAGGTACACAGTACTTGTTCCACTACAGAAATGCTTTGTGCCAGAGCAACTGTGCTGCACAAGAAAATGCAACAGCAGGTTGCTGGTAACGTCATTGCAATATAGATTACGCAATCCATGGCACTGTTGCTCAATGTTGGAACTCGCCCTTGTGATAGCAGGCAGAGAATATTGGACACATCAGCCGAATCTACTTACTTTTTACATTACTTTTTATCTCAGTTCTGGAGGTGTTGCTGAATATGATAAGAAATGACCAGCAGATCAAAGGGGTGCAGGTCGGAGCTAAACATTATAAGTTGAGAGCGTTTGCAGATGACTTAGTATTAACTTTGCAAGAGCCAAACACTAGCACGAAAAAGGCTTTAGAAATAATACAACAGTTTGGCCAGGTAGCTGGATTTAAGTTGAATAAGCAAAAAACAAAAGTTTTAGGGAAAAATTTAACAGATATTGAAAAGGAGAAATTTCAAGAGGAGACAGGTTTGACAGTGGTTAAGAAGGTGAAATACCTAGGGGTATACTTAACATCTAAAAATTTGAATTTGTACAAGGACAACTATGAAAAATGTTGGTCAGAAATCAAAAGAGATCTAGAAATATGGTCAAATTTGAAATTGTCAATGTTAGGCCGAATTGCAGTGATCAAAATGAATGTATTGCCTAGAATGTTATTTTTATTTCAGACCTTGCAGATTCTTGACAAGACGGAATGTTTTAAGAGGTGGCAGAAAGATATTTCGAAATTTGTCTGGCAGGGCAAAAAGCCCAGAATTAAATTTAAAATATTGACAGATGCTAAAGAAAGAGGGGGGTTTGCCCTGCCGGACTTAAAATTGTATTATGAGGCAGCAGCTTTTTGCTGGCTGAAGGAATGGATGCTCCTCGAGAACACAGACATCTTGGATCTGGAAGGCTTTAATAATGTCTTTGGTTGGCATGCATATCTATGGTATGATAAAATTAAGCAGCATAGTGCCTTTAAAAATCACATTATTAGAAAAGCACTGTTTAATGTATGGATGAGATATAAAGATCTGTTGGAAAACAAAACCCCTAGATGGGTGTCACCAGTCGAGGCTAAAGCAGTAAAGAAACTCAATATGGAGGTCGGATGGCCGAAGTATTGGGAAATTTTGGAACAGGATGGAGATAGGTGGAAACTACAAAGCTATGACAAATTGAAGGATAAAGTACAAAACTGGCTCCAATACTACCAAGTAATGGAGCTTTTCAAACAGGACAGGAAAATTGGCTTTCAAGTGGACAAATCAAAACTAGAGATTGAACTGTTAGAACCCAACACTAAGAATTTATCAAGAATGTATAACTTGTTGCTGAAATGGAATACACAGGATGAAACGGTGAAATCAGCCATGATTAAATGGGCACAAGACATTGGTCATGACATTATGTTTGCTGACTGGGAACAGTTATGGACCACCGGTGTTAAGTTTACGGCATGTAATGCCTTAAGAGAAAACATAATGAAAATGATTTACAGGTGGTACATGACCCCAGTCAAGCTGGCAAAAATTTATCATTTGCCCGATAACAAATGTTGGAAGTGTAAAGAGACTGAAGGTACCTTCTACCACCTTTGGTGGACATGCCCGAAGATTAAGGCCTTCTGGGAAATGATCTATAATGAAATCAAAAAGGTACTCAAATGTACCTTCTCGAAAAAACCAGAGGCCTTTCTCTTGGGCATTGTCGGCCAATTGGTGACAAAGAGGGATAGAACTTTCTTTATGTATGCTACAACAGCAGCAAGAATACTCATCGCAAAGTATTGGAAGACCCAAGATCTACCCACTTTGGAAGAATGGCAGATGAAAGTGATGGACTATATGACATTGGCCGAGATGACAGGCAGAATCCGTGACCAACGAAAAGAGACGGTGGAAGAAGAATGGAGAAAATTTAAAAGTTATCTTAAGGACTACTATAAACTTAATGAATGCTAAAATGTTGTGGTTTTTAGAAACAAAGGGATACAGGGATATAAGGTTAGAAATGTAAAAAAGGACTAAGAAGACAGAGATTGGAAAATAACAATTGGGAGTTGCTAGCTGAACTTTGGACATTGGGATGCAGAGAGGGGGGTATGGGGAAGTCAAAGGAAAGAAGTTTATGAAAATATGTTTGAAACTATACGTGTATGTTTGTCATTTTTGGTGTTTGTTTGTTTTTTGTTTAAAAAGTTTCTAAAACTAATAAAAATTTTATAAAAAAAAAAAAGAGAATATTGGACACAAGCCATTCTCGGTAAGTAAATACAAAAATAATAGACGTATTGAGTTGTATCCATTGTTATTCATGCTCACAGCTGACAGACTGAAATTAAAGGACACGGTTAACTTGGGTACATTCATTTCAATGGGTCCACTCAGATTTTAACTTAGTTGGGTATTATCTGTCAAAAAAATTGTGCTGCGGCGGCAGGGGTACTTGGACAGTGAATGAGAAAGTTCTCTCTAAAGCGGAGCCCAAATTGAAGCAGCATACGTATTTCATTTTCTAAAATGATTTTACTGTTGCTGTTACTATGGGTGTAGAATCACAGTGGAAACCATTCTGTCTGAACAGCAGCACTGAAAATATATGTGAATGAACATACATCAATCAATCAATCAATCAATCAATCGGGTGTCTGCGGCTGAAGCGCTTCATGCTGCCACCCAGGACTCCTTTTGGAGGAAGGCTGAGGTATGCATTCAATGAATAATAACTAAATAATAATTCATTGCTGTTGTGATCTGCCTTAAGATCTGCATGATGGGCAGTGTAATTTTTTTTGGCAAATGAATAAAATGCCGCAGGGTGAAGGCACCTATGATTGCATGCTCCTCCACACAGAACAGACCTCTTATGACAGAAATGTTCTAAGCCTAGCTTTCTATAGAATGTGCCAGTTTTCTGCATGGAAGGTGGTGCTCACACATCTCTGCACTGCAGTGGTATAGCCCAGACACAGATTTAGCACCTAAGGGAGAGCGAAGCCAAACTGTATAAGCAATTGCCAATAGCCTCTAAAGCAACTCTTCCTCCCTCCCACCCCACAAATTTCTGCATTCACTTACTCAGCAGGATAACAATTCCCAGAAAACAGAGTACACCAGCAACGATCAAACCGCCAACACGCAGCGAGTACCAGTCTGCAGGAGGAAAGAGGAGAGGTTTGGTCTTGTCTAGGATACTTGCATCTTCACTCCATTCTCTCCCACTAATCTATAAACCTCTTTCCCACCCACTCAATATCCACCAATCAGGGATGTTCTGGTGATTTTTATTAGGCAGGGAGTTATGGAAGAGTCGTCTTAAGGAACTACTCAGTGGGAAATATTTAGAAGAACTTGTAGTTGTGATCAGGAGTTGCAGTGGGTGAGTACAGAATAGGACTAAGGGTTTAAAGGAGCTGGTGTGGATGTGTTCCATTGTACGATTAGCACTCTTGCACACAAGACAGATGAAGCATGGCAATTCCTTCCTATTGTAAACAAGTACACCATCTGTTTATGTACAATTGCTCTTGGCCAGAAGATTCAGGATGGATTATACGGTGTTGCCAAGAATGACTCAAACTTACCGTAATAAAAGGGGCTGTTTGGATCTGAAGAGAGAGGAAGAAAGACATTAGAACATCCTAGCCTTAGGATTCACACCACAAAACAGCCCTCTTATAAGAACCCAGGTGTGTTGCTGACTGTTCTTTGAACACAAAGATCTCAGGGTCCGGGTTGGTTCATATGGAGATGGTCTTCAAGGTATTGTGGTCCTGAGCCATTCTGAACATTGGCCATGCCAATTGGTGTCGGAAGTCCAACATTTGAAAGAACACAGGTTCTCTGTCCTTGTTAAGGAGCCCCTGTGCCACATCTAGAGTAATATATACAACCCCCCCCCCAAACAAACAGGGGATACCAACAGCTACTCACCAGTAGGATCATTGGCCCCCAGGACAGGGAATGCTACAGAAGAAAACGAAAAGAGTTATTGTAATTTGATAGCATAACTACAGCCCCCCCAGCTTTCAGTTCCCTACTCACAGCTGCCCTTTGCAGTGCAGAAGCCTAACATGGTTAGGTTGCGGAAGGGCATTCCACCCACAGCTCTCATTGGCCCTGAATAGCATTAAGATACAGGCACCGGCTTCAGTGCCAGCTTCACGGGGCTGGGGAGGGGAAGTGAGCAGAAGATGAGAGGACAATTCTGAGAACTTTACCAGCCAAGAGAAGCAGCAGGATCTCCATAGTGGTGGGTTTCATATTGGTGTGTAGGGATAAGCAGAGCTTTGTGAGGAAAGAAGATGGAGAGAATTCATTTAGTTTTCTAGTTTTTCCAGTATTTATACCCTGCCTCCCCCCCCATTGCCTTCTCCCCCCAAACCAAGGCAGCGTACATGTACTTCCTTCTTAAGCAGTCTCCCATCCAGGAACAGACCCAACCCAGACCTGCTTAGCTTAAGCAAGAGTGGTGGCCTCACGTGTCTTCAGGCCATACCCTGGGACCAGAATGGAACTGTATATATATTCGATTCACAGGAACATTTGTTCCATTCGTGCACCACTTCTCCCAGAGGATTAAGCTTCCCTGCGAACATCTCTCAGCCCTCTCCCTACCTTTAAGAATGTAAGATGACCAAAGGCCCATCTAGTTCAGCATCTTGTTCTCACAATATAATTATTATTTATAATAATAATTTTATTATTATTATTTATACCCCGCCCATCTGGCTGGGTTTCCCTAGCCACTCTGAGCGGCTCCCAGCACAATATTTAAAACATGAAACATTAAAAACTTCCCTAAACAATGGCCAAACTAATGCCTAAGAAAAGCTTGAAAGCTGGACTTGAACACAACTGACCATGGGTGTAGCCGATGCCTCTCCCCCTCCTAGATCCACAAAAAAATATCAAAAAGCATTTAAAGCACGCAATTATTAACTGCGGCTCTTCCCCACCCCAGGAGCAGCTTTAGGGGGCAATCTAATGGTAAAGGTAAAGGGACACCTGACCATTAGGCACAGTTGTGACTGACTCTGGGGTTGCGGCGCTCATCTCGATTTACTGACCAAGAGAGCTTCTGGGTCATGTGGCCAGCATGACTAAGCTGCTTCTGGCAAACCAGAGCAGCGCACGGAAACGCCGTTTACCTTCCCGCCAGAGTGGTACCTATTTATCTACTTGCACTTGACGTGCTTTCGAACTGCTAGGTTGGCAGGAGAAGGGACAGAGCAACGGGAGCTCACCCCGTCATGGGGATTCGAACCGCCAACCTTCTGATCAGCAAGTCCTAGGCTCTGTGGTTTAACCCACAGCGCCACCTGCATCCCTAGGGGGCAATCTACCCCCCCCCAAAAAAGCTCAGAAAACTTTTTGCCCCACCAACCCAAATCCTCACTACACCCCTGACAGTGAAGATGGAAAAGCCCTATCCTCTGTGATAATGTGCCCACTCCCAAATTCTTAGCAGATTCCATTGCTGGGTTGGCCAGCAACACAACCTTATTTAGCTCAGTGATATAGTGTATGCTTTGCATTCAAGACCAGGCAGTAGGTGATGGGGAAATCTTCTTGCGCAAGACTCTAGAGAGCAGCTGCCAACCAGTCACAAAGAGATGGGGGGGGGACATTGAATTTTACACCAAATAATAATATTAATTTATTATTTGTACCCCGCCCATCTGGCTGGGCTTCCCCAGCCACTCTGGGCTGCTTCCAACAAAATATTAAAATACAGTAATGCGTCAAACATTAAAAGCTTCCCTAAACAGGGCTGGCTTCAGATGTCTTCTAAAAATCATCTCTACAGTGGTACCTCAGGTTAAATACTTAATTCGTTCCAGAGGTCCATTCTTAACCTGAAACTGTTCTTAACTTGAAGCACCACTTTAGCTAATGGGGCCTCCCGCTGCTGCCACATCATCACTGCACGATTTCTGTTCTCATCCTGAAGCAAAGTTCTTAACCCGAGGTACTATTTCTGGGTTAGCGGAGTCTGTAACTTGAAGCGTATGTAACCTGAAGCATATGTAACTCGAGGTACCACTGTACTGAGAGAGAGTGAAGCACAACAAGCAAAACCGGTCTGTACTTGGGTGGCATTCAGAACTCTACAGGGTTACCCAAGCCAATCAGAAAAGAAATTAGGACAGAACATTCCAAACCAAACATACATTCTTAGCATTGCTTTAGCCCTCCAGGGTGCCCAGAAGGGCCAAAAAACCTGATGCGAGAGATAGAGATAAGTAAATAGAAAGTGTTTTCCAGTTACAAGTTACTCCGATGTTTATGGACCAACAGGGCAGTCAAGCAAGCTACAGCACCAGAAGCTTGGGGACAGGAAGAAGGATATTGTCTTAAAGAGACAGAACTGTGAAAAGCAAGTGTAAGTTCGGAGAACAGGGTGATGGTTACAGGATTAGAATCATTTAAACAGATAGCTGCTAATCCTCAGTGGCATTTATGCTGTCACTCACAGCGTGTGGCAGGGAGAGCAGAGTAAAGCAAATACGTAAGGGATGGTACTTTACTGAGAAATATTTACAAATTCTTTTGGAAAGAGTGAACTGAAGTTAACTGTGTGATGCCGAGACAGAGCACTAATAAAACTAGTTCCAGCCTCTTCATAGCAAACGCTTTCAGCAAAGCCCAAATCCAGCGTTTTGCAGAAGCCAAAAAGGTGCTGCCTCTACTTGTTGATGTCAGAGTGCAAGTACCAAATGTTTGAGGCCTTGGGCTGCTATGTTACTGTTAGTAGTACCTCTCTGGCAACAGCTTCTATTAGGAGGGAGAGAGACAGTGAGTCACCTGGATCAGGTAAACTCATTCTGGTTGGCCTGGGAAATAACAGGCTGTGATTGGCTGGAGGTTCTAGTCAGTGAAGAATGGGCAAGTTAACTGTCAGTTGGGAAAAAGAACACCAACTGCTAAAGCTGACGAGGGGTGGGAAAGCTGAGGGAGAAGTGGATAGCTGAGGCCTTAATATTAAGCTGTTGCTGGTGAAGAACAGAAGAAGGGAGCTGGTGGCTGTGTTAGGCTGAGAGGGAGCCTTGAGAAAAGGTCTGACCAGAAGATTACGCAACTGGGTTTTAAGAAACAGCTAAACTGTGTCCATGTAGGCAGAAGTACAACTGCAAGGGCTTTGGGGGTCAAAGGAAGATTGTCCTCAGTAGGGCTGGGCAATATCTGGTTTTCAACATCATGATATATCATCAGCTAAACATCGCAATACAGTCATACCTCGGCTCCCGAACACCTTAGAAGTTGAACGTTCTGGCTCCCAAACGATCAAAAACCGGAAGTGAGCGTTCCGGTTTTCAAACATTATTTTGGGAGCCGAACATCCAAAGGGGCTTCTGCAGCTTCCGATTGGCTGCAGGAGTTTCCTGCAGCCAATCAGAAGCCGCACTTTTGTTTTCGAACATTTTGGAAGTCGAACGGACTTCCAGAATGGATTTTGTTTGACTTCCGAGGTGTGACTAGTACTCATGAACGAAATAAGGACTGTGCATCTGGAGAGAGACATTGGAGGCAGTGGAGATTTTCCTTGGCTCATATACTAGATGTTGCATAGCAGTCACACAAAAAACCCTGCCATGGTGAGTGATAATATGCCAATCAAAAAATCTAAAAAACAGAGACATCACCTACGATAAAGTCCGAATTAAAGCCTGGTTTTGACAGTATTGATGTATGGAGTGAGACTGACCATAAAGAAGGCTGATCGCCGAAGAATTGATGCTTTTGAATTATGGCTGGAGGAACTCTTGAGAGTCCCATGGACTGCAAGAAGATCAAACACATCCATTCTTAAGGAAATCAGACCTGAGTGCCACTGGAAGGACAGATCGAAGTTGAGGCTCCAATACTTTGGCCACCTCATGAGAAGAAGACTCCCTGGAAAAGACCCTGATGTTGGGAAAGATGGAGGGCACAAGGAGAAGGGGACGACAGAGGATGAGATGGTTGGATAGTGTTCTCTATGACAAACATCCCCCTGATAAACCACCTTACTCATTCTGACTCCAGTGTTGGTTTCAATCTCACATCTAGGCTATGAGGGGTCTTTAAAACATTCTAAGGGAATGGATGGCAGCAGGAAAGTGTCACCAAGCACAAATATCTAAACTTGCATTTATAAATAATGGGAATGAGAAAAGAGTTTCCCCATAAGCTTGTGGCAGACCTTGGCATCTCAAATTTCAGTGGAGCCCTGTGCAACGACAAAATCCAGCAGCCCCTCCATCTCTCGACTTACACTGGACATCATAGTTGCAGCACCCTCGAATTCCTGTGCCTGGTGCGACCGAATTGGTTGCACTCCGCTAGACCTGCCTTTGCTGTAAGGGGCATAATGACAGTGAGGGGGTGGTCTGAAGGAACATGGGCTGGGGAGAACAAGGGCTGAATAGAGAGGTCTGGAAGACCTCTGGCCTGCTGCTCCCCCCGCCCACACTCTACTCCAGAGTTTCCCAAACTTCGGTCTCCAACTGATTTTGGACTATAACGCTGATCGTCTCTTGCTACCAGGACCAGTGGTCAGGGATGATGGGAACTGTAGTCCAAAAACAGCTGGAGACCCTTAATCTACTCCATCAAGAGGCACAAGCTACTCCCAGCAGGGTCAGGGCTAGAGTCAGATGCAGTCAGCACAAAAGGCGCAAGGCTCTCTGTTGGCAGTGAAGTTAACTCTTGATTCACGAAATCGCACAGAACTCGGCAACACTTCCCAGTAGGTCTTGCTTCGATAAAGGAATTTGAAGGTCCCTGTCTTCCGTCCCTTCCAAGGCTCCTGGAGGAGTTTCCCAAGCAGTCTCAAACTGTGTCTGCACACCTCTTTTCTCTCTTCCAGTCTCCTCATTATCCTGCTTATTATTTCTTGGAGACCAGTGGGTGGAGGAGCTTATCACAGCAGGAGATGGAGACTCCAGGGATTCTCGTCTGCTTCAGCCTGCTCCCTGTCACAGCTTCCTCCTGCTTGCTAAAACTTGTTGTCCCTTCAGCATCCAGCACCTCCTCCCCATCATCCCCCTCTGACCTCTCCTCAGTGTCCTACCACCAATCCCTGGGCTCTGAGCCTCCTTCCTCAGGGACCTCCCTTGGGGGTCCCCCAGCTGGTGCCTCCTGAAGAGTAGCTTCACTGAGGAAGGGTCAAATGTTGAAGATAAGTGCACCTGAAGAGATCCATGCATCAATATGGCCCAAGAAAGCTCCCAGGAACCTGAGAAACTGAGTTGAAAAGCAACTCTGGGGAGAATGTTGGAGCTGGACTGGGAAAACACTTTACCCAGACCACAGAGGCAGAAGGAGCTATGTGCTTATTGTGGAATGGCTACAAAGAGTGGTTAATGGCCTTTCACATAAATTCTACAGATTCAGAAGCCACTGAACAGCGATAACCAAAGCAATGCCCTCCAGATACTGTTGAACTACAAGTCCCATTAGCCCCAGCCATGTTGGCTGGGACTGATGGGAGTTCAGTCCAGCAGAAATTGGAGAGCACTAGGTTGACTACCCCTGCCTTAGAACATATAAGCACTAACTACTCGGTACCTACCTTGTGCCAGTGGGAAACAGATTAGAGCCGTCACAAATGTGATGCAGGAAACAAATCTCAGAAACAAATGGTTTATTAATGGACGGCTCAGGACGGAGAGCAATATTGCAAGGAATGCTGGATGTAGCTGCACCTCCTGCGTCCAAATTCATTGGGTGCCAAGGCAATAATCTGATTGGCAAGTCACAGAACAATGTCTTCCTTGGAAATCTCCAGTCACTAACTCATTATGACAGCATTATGAAAAGCAAACAAGTTTCGGCAAGTTCAAGGAATCTGCTCCGTTCAGAGCCAGGGCTCATTATGGGACTTCTAGCCCCAAAATTAAGCACATTTTTTAAAGGCTCAGGATTCAATCAGAAGCATGGTTTTAAAAGATGTGGGGTTTGCCGAAAAGTTCATTGTTAGTACTGCAATAGAATTCACTGCCACAGAACATTGCAATGGTCAGTAGAATACTTTTAAAAGGGATGAGACAAATTAATGAGTGTTGGTGCAGTTTGGGTAATTTAAAACCAGCATTCCTCATCCTGGTGCCCTCCAACGTTTTTGGACTACAACTCCCATCATCCCTGGCCATTAAGCCATGCTGGCTGGAGCTCATGGGAGCTGTAGTCCAACAACATCCAGAGAACACAAGGTTGCAGCTGCTTAGGAAAGGCTGGTCGGCAATGACTGACAACAGCGCTCCAGAGTTCATAAAAGTCTTTTGCAGTCCTGCAAAAGGAGATGCCAAGGATTGAACCTGGGACCTTTCTCATGCAAGGGATGTGTTCTGGCCCTGAGCTACATTTATAGTATTTACATAGGCCGCCCTACAACAAAGTTTGCAGTTTGCAAGAAGTGGTAACTTAAAATCCAATAATAAAAGTAAATAAACACACCATAAAAAACAGTAACAGAGTGCAAAACTGCTTAAAGCTTACAAGAGATTTTAAAAGCTTGGGGATATAAAAAGGTCTCCGCTTTGCAGGGGCCAAGATAACTACCTGCACACAGAGAACTGTTGCATCAACCACAGAAGCAGTTCTTATTGCCTCTGAAGGTGCAACAGTCTTTACAGTGGTACTTCAGGTTACATACGCTTCAGGTTACAGACTCCGCTAACCCAGAAATAGTGCTTCAGGTTAAGAACTTTGCTTCAGGATGAGAACAGAAATCAGCCTCTGGCGGCGCAGCAGCAGGAGGCCCCATTAGCTAAAGTGGTGCTTCAGGTTAAGAACAGTTTCAGGTTAAGTATGGACCTCCGGAAAGAATTAAGTACTTAACCTGAGGTACCACTGTATTTGAAAGGAAGTTGCACCAGGACTGAATGAAAGACCAAAAGCATGTCCCGAGACACACAGAGCTCTGAAGCAGAAAACCCCAAACCCCGTCTTCAAAATGCGAGTCAACAGCGTGCATGAAAACACCCCAATTCCCAATCCTGGGCAGAACCCGTCATCCCAAAGATGATGCCTTTAAAAATAATAAGCAGAATTAGGAACAGCTCTTCAACAACACCAGTGAATCTACAGGCACCTTTCTATTTCAAGAGACCATCCGTTGTTTCAGACCACAGAAATGAGTGATTGCCCCTTATTCCAGAAACCCTATTTTCAAAAGCATCCATTCTCCTAAGGACCACAAAAAGCAGTGACAGCCAAAACGAAAGCAATACAAACCAACAATGTCAAAGTCTAGAAAACCTATAAAACACAGGGATGCTTAAATCGCTGCAAACTGCGGGCCTCAAATCAGGGATGGGGACCCTGTGGCCCTCCAGATGTTGCTGAACTACAACTCCCATCACCCTCTCTCCAATGGGTGAAGCCAGTGAGGGTTGCAGTCCTTAACTTATCATGCTCTGTTGCTATCCCCAGCCTTGTTTTGTTTTAGCAATGAGCCCGCAAGTCTCAAAAGCTTGCACACAACTTTGTGACATTTGGAGGGAGGGTTAATAAAAGTGTTACCTTACTGTAGCTTAGGGATTAAGCCTCTTCAGTAATTTAAATGGCTGTTTAAATGTCAAAAGGAAGTTCCTTCCTAATTTTGCAATTCACGGTTTTGCATAATTCCATTTTGCATATGGAATGCATGAGTATTTCAAGAATGGGCATGCAAGCACATTTTCTTTGCTAACATATCCAGGCAGAAGGTGACTAGTCCTGCAAGCATGCCTAGTGAAGGGTTATTTTGAGACCTAAACTGAGAAGTCTTGTCCCTGCTACCCTCTGAGAAACACTGCTGCCATTACCTGCAAGAAACAGTGCCTGTCTAGAGACTGCATGGCTGCACCTAGAGTGGCAGCTATATAATTGCTACCATTAGTTCCTGAAACCTACCCCCCAGCTCCTGGGGAACTGACTAGTCTTGCTCTTTCAGCTATCAGCAGCAGTGAAGCAATTATTTGCATTGCGACAAAGGAATTAGATTCAACTGGTGTACGTGCAGTGCAGGAATCTTGCATGAATTGGGGACTCACAAAACACACTGAAGAAGTACTGTGTAAATGGGACCAAAGTCTCAAAGCAAAGTCTGAAGATCCTCTGCCAGACTCTCTCTCTCTCTCTGTGTGTGTGTGTGTACCTGTGCATATCTATAAGGCAAAGCCCTTATGTTTCTATGAAAACATGGATATTTTTTTGTCACTCACGGTGTTCTGGAGTTGTTTTGTGGAGCTGTATATAATTAATTTTCAGGACTGGTTCAAATCTGAACTGCAGACACATATTCCATGTGAGAAGAAGAAGGGGACAGTTCGCCTTTCAATTCCAGCTCCTTTCTGAATCCGTCTTTGCCAGCTGAGTCTAAAGTCCCCAGCAGGCTTCTCATTGTCAGTGAGGTCACAGACACTATCCAATAGGTGCTTCCTGACACACAAGCAGCCACATTCCGAAGAGGAGCACATCACAATGGCCCACCATCTGAGAACGGAGGCACATTTCCCAAGCAACCTGTTGCAGTCAATGACTCCAGCCTGACCAACATTTCCAGCATCAAGTAGAATGCAGCCATTTTAAGTGGCAGCCAACAACAGGCATAGAGGGGGTCTATTTGCACCACTGAGATGTAGAGATGGAGAAACCCCCTTCCATGCCATTGCCCTGGCAGCCCAGTGGGGCCTTCACTTCAGCTCTGAAGTTCAAGCTGCTCATTACTTTTGCCTCTTTTTGTAACAGCTCCCACACGGAACTGCTTCCCTCTAGGAAGAGGCTTGGATCCCACACAAGTGATTCGAAACCACACCAGTTGTTGCTTCCAGATCAAGATCAGTTCCAATGGGAAGGGCACACCCCAGCTTTGCTCACAGCGGCCGCTCCAAAATTATGCCCCTTTCCTACCATAACTAAGGAGCAGCCACACATGTGCCAATCTATGTCAAATGGATCGGGCAAATAAAATAAAATGCCTGCACAACAAAGGCAACAGGTTACCCACAAGAAGGCCAGGGGTGGCACGGACTGGAACCAGTCCCTCCCTCAGCCTCCCATAAAGGGACAGAATTGTGCTCATCCAAAATCCAGTGCAATGCAGGGTTTTACCCCATTAGAGAAACCACGTAGGCCTAAACACACTATTTTTGTATAAGCCCATCTGAAATAAGGGCCAGCATGGAGCAGCTGGTCTCTAGAAAAGGGAAACTATGATGAAGCACAGAAAGCTACCATACTTTTAATGCGCATCATGATTGATGTTTTTGTTTTGCTTCGTGAGTTAAAGCAGCTCTCGGAGAAGCGCTCCCCGCTTGCTTGCTTTTTTTCTTTTTTTGCAGAGAGAAAGAGAGAGAGAGATACAAAGAACACGCTTATTCGGGTCTTACAGAGCTGCCAGGACCTGGTCAGATGAACTGCTTTTCGCTGAACAATTCCCAGGCGGCCCTAATTTCAGGGGAGAACTTTCAGCTTGGCAGCCCTGCTCAGAAACAGCCGCGCGCACACGCAAGGAGCGCACGATGCTCTTTTTCTCTACCTTGGTGAAAGAGATCAAAGTGCAAGCCTGGGGCAGCCGCGCCCAAGCCGGGGTTTGCAAGAGAGCCCCACGGTGGGCAACGAAACCTTCCCCTCCACCAGGAGGCCGGGTCCCGATCCTGCTCCCCCCCCTCTTCTTTCCAAAGGGCCCCTCTACTCACCCCGTCTGCAGAAAGGCCAAATGCAGGCGAGCCAACCCGACCCGGAAAAAGCCGAGGCGGGGAGGGGCCCTCCTTTCCCTGACTAAACAGACCTGAGCGCAGACCACACCCAAGGCAGGTGAGGAGGAGGAGGAGGAACAGGTTTGGCTGCCGCGGGGAAGGGAAGGGCCGCCTTGGCCCCCTCGCCGTTCCTCTGCAAGGGAACAGACAACCCGGAGCTTCCAGCCTCCTGCCAGCTCGGAGAGGCGCCTCGATCCTTCCCTTCCCTTGTAGGAAACGAGGCAGGGCCGCTCGCTTTCCCTTCACAACTCACCCCCTCAAATAGGGGTCCTCCTCTGGCTTGAGACAACCGTGCCTTTCATAGCAGCGTTTGTGTATCTCGCAGGGGTGAGGAACCTGTGGCCTGCTAGCTAGGACATTACCCCTGGCCGCTAGATTGAGGTTTAGTGTCCAACTCCACCTGGAGGGCTGCAGGTCTTCCTCCGCTTCCCCACAAGTATGCTGTTTTGAATAATGACGGAGTCAGCTGCATCTGTTGGATTTCTGCCTGCCACACAGGTGTTCACAGCTCCTTTCTCTTTTGCTGGTCAGTCTTCTGACCACCTTTTGTCCTAACAACAATTATTGGGCTTCAGTGTCCATCAGCCCTAGTCAGTGTGGCCAATGAGCAGGGGTTGATGGGAGTTGTAGTCCAGCAAGTTCCACATCCCAGCTATACATTATCTCCGCAAAGGTAAGATTTGAATTTGGAGCTCCCTGGTTCACAGCTCAGTCTTCTCAGCCATTTTCACTAGATGGACTCTTGTTGGTTGAGTAGGGCCACTTTCTGCCTAGCATTGGGAGTGATGGAGAAAGCTGCTGGTTTTTCTGCAATTATCAAAGGCGTAGGTGGCCTATCAGGGGAAATTGCTGCATTAGGTGGGGGGGGGGGTTGAACACCAGGAATCCAATGCAGTTTAGATCCCCAAATCAACCTCTTCCAGCTGAAACAACTTTATTGGAAGGAACTGTGATGGTTTTCCAAAGCACATATTTTAAGTGAACATTTCTTAGCATTACAACAGTGCACCTCAGTTAGTGCTCAGATTGCAGAGAGCAGGCAGCAGTCTTGGCTGCTGTTTTTAGAAGGCTGGAGGCAGCAGGGTTGTGTAATATTTGATTAACACCTCCACGTACCTGTCACTCCACAATTCAAGCAGTGAGCCCAGACGTATTAATGTTTGTGAATCTGTGTGTTAGAGTGGTGAAAGTAGCCCACACTGCAAGGTATGGGTGCAAGGACCCCTGGGAACACGTCCCACCTCTAAATCTGCCAAGCACTGCTTTTACTTGCTACATTGCTAAGGGAGGAGAGTGCAGGAGGTAGATCTAGGTTCTCCTGGTGGACCAGTAAATGATTTGCAGTAGATCTGCAGGCATTTACTAAACGCAGTGGGAGAGCCCCTCCCTGCTTTGCATGCAGAATGTCACAGCAGGCAGGATAGCCAGTAGGCCTTGCCAGGATATGCCGACCCCTGCAAATGCCCCAGCATGCGAGGTGCAGATTCTGAGCCTGGAATAGAGTCTCTGTTTTGCATGCAGAAGCTGCCAGGTTCAATGCACAACATTTCCAGTTAGAAGAATCTGAAACTCTGGAGAGCTGCTGCTGCTGCTGTTGCTGCCAGTCAGGGTGGACAGAACCAGCCTGGGTGGCCAAATGGCCTGACCTGGTATTGGGTAATTTCCTGGGAAGAAGGTCTTTAAAACAGCCTCGTCAAGAGGCTTGGCAGCTGTCTGTGCCGTGGGCATTGTAGAAGGGCAAAACCCTCCAGTGGCCTTATCGAGCATTCTTGGCTCATGCAAATCACCAAAAGTTTCCTTGTAGGAACAGGGCCCTGACACGTCCTATTGCTCCGCGATTTCCGGGGAGGCTGCTCCACCCCCTCAGAGATCCAGACTGGGCCAGAGAGGACTTGAAGCAAGATGCTGGAGATGGTTCGAGGAGGCAGGAGCATTGTGCAATCCCTGTCCTGTTGCAAAAAGCGGTCGGAGCTGGAGCAGTGCATAGCCTCAGGTAATAGTTGGACATTGGGTTAAACAAGGTGAGGCCTGCAGAAACTGGTGCCTCCGAAGGCAGATTTTTCTAAAGAAGAGGTCCATTTAAGAGTCATCTGTAGGGCTGGGGATGCCAGCAGTGGACAGGACAGAGCGGGGGGGGGAGGGCGCCCCTTCCCCCCTCTTTTTCGCAGCCCCTCACCTCCACCTCCTTCCCCTTGTTTCCCCAGGGCCAGCTACATGCCTGTGTGACAGATCTTATGCCACTGAGCAAATTTGCCAAGGGCTGCAGCAATTCCCCTATTATACAGTGGGACAGACCCCAAAGAATCCTGGGAACTGTAGTTTGTTAAGGATGGTGAGATTTGTTAGGAGACCCCTATTCCCTTTACAGATCTACAGTTCCCAGAGTGGTTTAAAGACTCAATCCCTCTTCCCAGGGAACTCTGGGAATTGTAGCTTTGTGAGGAGAACAGGGGTTTCCTAACAGCTCTCAGCACCATTAAGAAACCAGGATTCTTTGGGGGGCAAATCCATGTCTGTTTAAAGTGGTATGATTCTGCTTTAAATATATCGTGCAGATGGGGCTGTACTTAAGAGCATTCCTTCTTGTTGTATTTACTATCCCCCAAATAACCAGAGACGTAGGAATAAGCACAGATGGTTTGAAACGCAGCGTGGAACACTTCCCTAAATAGCACCAATCTTTCCCAGCTTCACGAGGGAAAACAGGCACAGCCAAAAACCCTCTCATGCAGAAATCTGATCTTCCTATTCCGGCTTTGTGCAGGTCGGCGTCACCTTCGCTCTGATACAATCACAGAGGTAATGAAGCTTTCCAAGAACTGAATTTGCTAAATCAAAGCAGGCGGTTTTGCATGAAAGCTCCTCTGGAAGTTGAAGTATCCATATTAGTCTGTTGCAACAAAACCAACAAGGCGTGTTGTGAAGCCTTTAGGGCAAAGTGGTCTATTATGTCATACATGTTCACGGACTATAATCCCCTTTATCAGATGCATAAAGTGTTGTAAACACACAGAGGCCTCCTGGGTGCAGAGGGAAGGAAGTGAAAACAGTGAGGTCAGATGGCAATGAAGCACAAAGCGTCATCTGTAATAATGCAACTAAATCTTAACAGTGAGCCAATGCGAATAAGCCTCGCAAAAAGCTCACTTGGATATTATCTAATCCTGCCACACCTTCTATATTACTGACAATAAACACAGCTAGCATTTTGCAGCTATAAAATCAACACATACCTGGCTGGCACTGGGAATCACCCAGTCTGTGGCAACCCTAAGCAAAGCTTAAATGCCTGCCATTTAAGTAACCATTTACAGCACCAGTAATGAGCAATGACAACAGCCTTCTTAAGCTTTGCTTGGTTAACTAAAGCCCCTGATGTGGGAGAGGAAGCCATTGTCTCCATTCAGGCCTAAACAAATAGAATCAAACTTCTGAAGTTCCTTTGCTGAAGAAAAGGTGACTTTCAGGTCAACAGCAGAGAATGAGGTAAGACACATGGGATATAGATTACCTTCCAGCTATCTGCTGCTGCCGCCTATATAGGATAGACTGGACAGAAAAAAAGAAACAGGCACAAGTCTGACATGGAAAAACTGGAAACGTTCAGAAACCAGTGGGAGAAAGCTCCAACAAGCACATGCACAGGTTTCTAGTTCATAAGATTCCCAGTGTCCCCTCCCCGCTTTCCTGAGTCAGAGGTAAACATAGAGGTAAACAATTTCGACTGAGCAAAGCTAAGGCTGATTTATCAGTGCTTATTCATTTCAGCTCCATTGTTTCTTCCTTAGCAGAGCCGCTGGTTGTGTGGGATGTGAGGGGTCAGTGGGCAGCTCAGACAATCCTATCAAAAAACTAAACAAAGCACTGAAACAATGCCACTAGAACCAGAATGGCCTCGGCAGTCTCTGCTGCTTTGCAACAAAAGTCAGTCGACAAATGCATCCACCTGTAGCAGGTTGAGGCTGCCTTGCTAGTTTGGATGTTGGTGGCTCTCTCAAACACACAGACACAGATGCGGACTGGGAGGAAGGGGGGATCCTACCATGCCAATGAATGTACTCATTGGCACTGTGATGGCCTGGGACTCACGCTCGGACTCGGAACCAGGGGAGAATCACTCTGCACCGGATCCTTTGCCTCAGGCATCATCTGAACCAAGTCTGGGGCCTGATCCTGAAGGGTCCCAGTCTGCACAGGTTCCCCTGCAACAAACACCAGCTGGGCCAAGTCAGGGGCCTGAGCCTGCCCTGGCTCCAGATGCGGGGATTACCTCATCGCCTTCAGCTGGGCCATCGTTTACAGCTGCTCCACTACTGGCTTGGTCAGGGGAGGCTGAGGCGGCCCCTGGATCTAGTAACCCACTGATGTCTCCTGAGCTGCAGAGACTAAGGTCTGAGAGAAGGAGAGGCCTGAGTACTCTGAGGAGGAGTGCTCGCCTTCAGGTGAAACGGAGGTGAGTCGCCGGGGGATCAGGACCAGCCGATACCCCGACAAAGATAAGAGGGTGTCAGACCCCGCCAAGGTTGTGGGAGCAGCATTGCTGTATGCTAGACCCTGCCCCTGTCCTTGCCTGGTTTCCTGCCTCGTGTCCTGCCTTGGCCCTGTCAGACTGACTCCTAGCGGAACCTTTGGATTCTGGACTGGACTGCATTTCACAGGTTACCCCTGGGCCCAGCACAGGCAATGGGGAAGATCTTTTTGAAGTACGGGTAGATGTAACATAGTAATTCAACCAGATGGAAGTGATGATATTCCAGCTGAATTATTTAAAATTTTAAAAGATGATGCTGTTAAGGTGCTACACTCAATATGCCAGCAAATTTGGAAAACTCAGCAGTGGCCAGAGGATTGGAGAAGATCAGTCTACATCCCAATCCCAAAGAAGGGCAGTGCCAAAGAATGCTCCAACTACCGCACAATTGCACTCATTTCACACGCTAGCAAGGTTATGCTTAAAATTCTACAAGGCAGGCTTAAGCAGTATGTGGACCGAGAACTCCCAGAAGTGCAAGCTGGATTTAGAAAAGGCAGAGGAACCAGAGACCAAATTGCAAACATGCGCTGGATTATGGAGAAAGCGAGAGAGTTCCAGAAAGACATCTACTTCTGCTTCATTGACTATGCAAAAGCCTTTGACTGCGTCGACCACAGCAAACTATGGCAAGTTCTTAAAGAAATGGGAGTGCCTGATCACCTCATCTGTCTCCTGAGAAATCTCTATGTGGGACAAGAAGCTACAGTTAGAACTGGATATGGAACAACTGATTGGTTCAAAATTGGGAAAGGAGTACGACAAGGTTGTATATTGTCCCCCTGCTTATTTAACTTATATGCAGAATTCATCATGCGAAAGGCTGGGCTGGATGAATCCCAAGCCGGAATTAAGATCGCCGGAAGAAATATCAACAACCTCAGATATGCAGATGACACAACCTTGATGGCAGAAAGTGAGGAGGAATTAAAGAACCTTTTAATGAGGGTGAAAGAGGAGAGCGCAAAATATGGTCTGAAGCTCAACATCAAAAAAAACGAAGATCATGGCCACTGGTCCCATCACCTCCTGGCAAATAGA